ATAAAAAAAAAAAAAAGAAAATATATTAACAAATATGACTGTCAGCATTGAATGAAGAAAATATTAATAGAACGAAAAGAGTAAGAAAGAAAGAATGAAAGAAAGAAAAAAAGAAAGAAAGAACAAAAAAATTTATACAAAAAAAAAAAAAAACAGAAAAAGTGCTGTTGCTATTATTATCGCTTTTTACAGTGTTTTCTACTTACGCATAGAGATTACAAATAAAACGTATATTTATATACATATAAAACCAACAAAATACTATCTATCTATATACATACATATATATATATATAGATATACATACATACATACATACATACATAATACATTTAAATTCGCACGCGTTATTCCTATTGAAGTGTTCCTCATGCAAGTGTGAGACTGGCCTTGTAACAATATACTCGTGTTTTAAACATAAAAATTACAAACAAATACAAATTGAATAAAACGACTGTGAACCTTTTGGGCTGGGTGCTTGAAAAAAGCACCTCCCACGTGGGATCATCCTCTAGCACTTGAATACGCTATCTGGTGGCTAAATTCAAAATTAGAGATCCCAATTAAAAAAACTTATACACGATACTATTCGTAATTCTCAATTACTCAATGAAATCATTTCATGTTTTTTCTTTTTTTTTTTTTTCTAAGCGTCAATGAGAATTCTATTTTGTACGTGTATATGTTGAAATGATATGTATATATATTTATAATTGAAAGAAAGAGATAGAAATATTGTATCACGCGAGTATAAAACCACTTTTGCTCTGAGTACGACGTATTGCTTGAGCTATACTACTATTCTTCTACTTTTACTACTTAAAAATTACGCCTACACGTTTATATACAAATTATACTACCTATATATATATAAGTGTGTATATATTTATACGTGTTATCTTTCGTAATATTATTCTACAAGTTATATATATATATATATATACATTTGTTATTATTATCCAGTGAAAGAGAGAATGGGATAGAGAAAGAGAGAGAGAGAGAGAGAGATAGAAATATTGATAAATAGTAAAAGGATTGAAGATTGAGAAAAACAGAAAGACAATAGTGTAGTTTCAAGTATAGAAAAACAAGTAAATGATGTAAATGTGTTTGTGTATGTCTGTCTGTCTGTCTGTCTATCTGTTTGGCTGTCTGGTTGGCTGGCTGGCTGGCTGTGTTACGTTTGTATATAAAAATGAAAAGAGAAGTTGATATTTCTTTTTGAATGTGATTGGAGAATCGTCAAGTGGATAAAAAAAAGGCTGCTGTGCTGCCCGGAATTCCGAGATTAATATTTGCAAAAAAAAAGTGGCACGAAAACTTTATAAGAGAGAGAGAGAGAGAAAGAGAGAAAGAGAGATGCATACATACATACATGCATACATATATACATATATACGTTGTTTCGAGGAAAGGATTGGAATTTGAAGATAGCGTGAAAATTGCAGCAAAAAGACTAATTGTAAATTCTCTTTATTTTTCTTTTTATTTTTTTTTTTTTTTTTCGTATTCATGTGAGCCGCATTTGTAAATTTTTACAGGGAAAAGGAAAGGATGGGGATGGTTGAATTAAATTATTTTTAATATAAGGACTCGAAAAAAAAGAAAAAAAAACAAACATTTTTAAATATTATTAAATATAGTTAGAGATACATTTTTAATAATATAAAGTTCCTAAAAACAAGTGCAGAATTTTAAATAGAATGTAAGAAGAAGAAGAAGAAAAAAACAAGAAAACTCGCGCGTGCAATTGTAAAAGCATCATCCCAAACGTTTTTTTTTTTTTTTTAATCACCATCCTCATAAATTTATGAAAATTTCTTTTTAAAGGCTCAACATTTTCTCTTTTTTTTTTAAATGTTATCGTCTTTATTATATTACAAAAATAATTATATAATTATTATTATTATATTATTCAAAAAAATAATACGCCAGGTAGAAAACGAGAATGAAATTTAAGCGTGGGAGTATCATTTAAAAAATAAGTTGATGAAAATTTTCAATATCATTTAACACTTCTTTTTTTCTTTATATATATATATATATTTTTTTTTTTTTTTTTATTATAAAATTAACAGCAAACATCATTTCGCCGTTTCTCTAATTTTTGAATTTTTGTTCTTAATATTTTCTTTTTTTCTTATTTTTTTTCTAACAAAACAACCGACAGTCATATTTTTTTCTTCATTCAGATTTTAGATCACGATATTTTTTTTTATAATTAATGATTCCTTTTATTTGTTCATTTTGTCTCATACACATTGTTGTTGATTTTTTTTTTTTTTTTATCGAACACTGTATAGATCATATTTTTTTTGTAAATTCGAATTCTTACATTGTGTGTCGTTTTGTTTATTTGTGTTTAAAATAATATTCGCGTTCATCGTAGATTGTGGTGATTGTAAGTGTTTTAATTTTTTTTTTTTGTTCTTTTTTACTAATCGTTTTTTAATGCGTTATTATTCATTGTTATGTTTATTATTATTATTATTATTACTTTTTTGTTTATTTGTTTATTTGTTTAATCAATCGTAGTGTGTGTGTGTTTTTTTTTTCTATATATATATATACACCACTAAAATGCCATTTTAAATATTAGCCTTAGATTAGTAGTAGACACACGTTTAAAACGCGTATTTCTCGTTAATTTATTTTTAACTTTGCTAATTTTTAAAAAATGACCACGCGATAATTAATTACAATTTATTATTTAAAACAAAACAATAATAACAACAACAACAACAACAATAAAAATCAAATCTTTCAATCTTTGTGTACGCTGTCGTTGCCGTTTCTCCCCACAACAAAATTCACCCCTTGTTCTTTAACAAAACACCCCTTTTTACAAACACCCCAATATATGCACCCATTTATTTAATATTTTCGAAAAATAATGATTAATAATTTCTTTTTTTTTTCTACACGTTTATATATACATATATATATTGAAATCGATTAATCATGTGAAACGGATGAGATAAAAAAATATTAAAAAATAAATAAATCTCTCTTCAATAAAATACAAATGAAACGTGTGAAACTAATTCGATTAGCGTTGTAAATGAATTATTTTTTTTTTTGTCAATAAACAAATGTCTCGATTATAGGATTAAGTCGAGTTATAAATAACTTCCCGTTTTTTTTTATAAGACACAAACAATGGCGTTTCTGCGACTGATAAAGTGCAAAGACACCTTTCATGGAGTTTTTTTTTTCTGCACTCTTTGCAATTGTTCAACGTATCTATTGGATTTTGCTCTCAATATTACCTTTAAAAGGGTTCGTCAAAGTCGAAAATACGTCCCTGCACACTCGGGGTTTATCTTTTAAGATTCGTATCTCTCTAAGAACAGAATTTGACAAAGCAATTTCTGACTGTCCTATCAGTTATCAAGTCCTGCACTGTATAAGCTGTATATTTGTTCAGTTGCCACCTTTAGTGCTAATTGTCTTGTTTCAATTTTTAAAGCATTACATGTTCGAATATGCACTTTTCTACTATCCCATTTCAGTGGTTTAACACGTTGACGCCGGCGCCCGATTTTCAGTGTCTGCGCTGTGGGGCGGCACTCGAATCTAAGATGCGCTTCATCTGGCGGCGCGTGATTTTTGCTTGTTCAAACCTGGACAAAGGTGAACCACCGGTGGTACAAGCCGCCCGATGAGACAGTCTAGTGTGGGCTACCGGTGGTACAAGCCGCCCGATGAGACAGTCTAGTGCGGGCCACTGGTGGTACAAGCCGCCCGATGAGACAGTCTAGTGCGGGCCACCGGTGGTACGCGCCGGCGTGAACGTGTTAAGAAAAAACGGTTGAATGTAAAACATTGACTGCATAAAAAAGTTAACAGAAGACTAAACTGAATTCTCATCTATACAGTGATATCAAAAATTCGTTAGTTTCGGTTACTTATAATATAGGTAAATACGAAAAATAGATTCTACGAAAGTTATTTATGACTCGAGCTAATATTTTGTTATACTTAACACGTGTGTACATACAAAACAAACAAAAAATATATTATTATACATATATGTATGTTTTGCAAGAACAAACAATAAGAATAATAATAATTAATTAATTAAAAAAATATATAATATTATTCACAAATCATCATCCATCGAGCAAATCATCGAATTATTTTTACTATAAATGAAAGAATCATTTTTATGAGATTAGATATGGTTGGTTTTTTTTATTTTTTTTTTTTTGTTCATTTCTATTGTCTTTAACGAACCCGATTGTAAATCGAAATAATGAAGAAATAATATAATTATCGACTGTATGTGTGTGTGTTGTATGCGTGTGTCTGTCTGTCTATGTATGTATGTATGTATGTATGTATGAGAGAAAGTTAAAGTGCAACGAATGAAAATTTATGAACTCTACGAGATTGTCAAATCATTCTATTCCCTATTTGACTTGTTTTTGTTTTTTGTAGTTTTCATTTTTTTTTTTTTTTCAATGATAGATTTAAGTGTATGTATATATATATATGCAAATTATTCGTACTACTATTAAAAATAATAATATTAACAAGTTGATATATAATAATTTTTACGATTGTTTATCCGATTTACGTTAGATACGTTAAGTTGACATATATATATATATAATGTGTATCGTTTATGTTAATTAATGAATTAATTTAGATTTTTGTTTCTTTCCCATTTTATGAGAGCCGTAAGACTGATAATCCTCAATAAATAATTAAACTTAATATACATATATACATATATATATGTAT